GGAATCACGCAAACATCTGAAGAAGAGATAGACGCAATCCACGAGAATGAACATTATCTTAAGAATGGGGCATGTTACCCAATCAACATGTTATTTTGAAAAATAATGAGAAAACGATTTTCATATTTTCTCATTCAATCTTTTCTAAAAATGAAATTGTTGAATAGTAAGAAAATGATTTTCATAGTTTCTTACTTAGTAAACAATTTCCCACATCTGTAAGTCATACAGTGCATGATGTTTCCAAAAAGCCTTCGGGAGCTTTTTGATATTTTCAAAGCCTTAGGGTCATCTGTAGAGTTCATAATGAGAAGAACTCATCTGAAGAAGGAAGAAGAAGTTCATAATAAGAAGAACTTGTTCAACCTTTTGCTTGAATTCATCATTCGATGGATCAGCATTTCCAGAAGAAGTTCATAATGAGAAGAACTCATCTGAAGAATGAAGAAGAAGTTCATAATGAGAAGAGCTTATTCAACCTTTTGCTCGAATTCATCATTCGATGGATCAGCATTTCCAGAAGAAGTTCATAATGAGAAGAACTCATCTGAAGAAGGAAGAAGAAGTTCATAATGAGAAGAGCTTATTCAACCTTTTGCTCGAATTCATCATTCAATGGATCAACTTTTCCAGAGAAAGTTCATAATGAGAAGAACTCATCTGAAGAAGGAAGAAGAAGTTCATAATGAGAAGAACTTGTTCAACTTTTCGCTTGAATTCATTATTCGATGGATCAGCATTGCCAGGTAAAAGTTCATAATGAGAAGAACTCATCTGAAGAAGGAAGAAGAAATTCATAATGAGAAGAATTTGTTCAACCTTTTGCTCAAATCCATCACTTGATGGATCAACTTTTCCAGTTTGAGTTCATAATGAGAAGAACTCATCTGAAGAATGAAGAATAAGTTCATAATGAGAAGAATTTGTTCAACCTTTTGCTTCAATTCATCACTCGATGGATCAACATTGCCAGGTAGAATGTCATAATGAGAAGAACTCATCTGAAGAGGAAGAAGAAGTTCATATTGAGAAGAACTTGTTCAACCTTTTGCATGACTCTATTACGGAAAGAGATAGATCAACATCAACTTTTCCAGAGAAAGTTCATGATGAAAAGAACTTATCTGAAGAGGAAGAAGAAGTTCATCCGAGAAGAACTTGTTCAGCCTTTGCATGATTACATCACAGAATGAGATAAATTATCATCCCCAGTGAAAAAGTTCATAATGAGAAGAACTTATCTAAAGAGGAAGAATAAGTTCATAATGAGAAGAACTTGTTCAACTTTTCGCTTGAATTCATCATTCAATGGATCAACATTGCCAGGAAGAAGAAGTTCATAATGAGAAGAACTTGTTCAACTTTTCGCTTGAATTAATCATTCGATGGATCAGCATTGCCAGGTCGAGTTCATAATGAGAAGAACTCATCTGAAGAATAAAGAAGAAGTTCATAATGAGAAGAACTTGTTCAACTTTTCACTTGAATTCATCATTCGATGGATCAACTTTTCCAGAGAAAGTTCATAATGAGAAGAACTCATCTGAAGAAGGAAGAAGAAGTTCATAATGAGAAGAACTTGTTCAACCTTTTGCTTGAATTCATCACTTGATGGATCAACATTTCCAGAGAAAGTTCATAATGAGAAGAACTCATCTGAAGAAGGAAGAAGAAGTTCATAATGAGAAGAACTTGTTCAACCTTTTGCTTGAATCCATCATTTGGTGGATCATCTTTTCCAGAGAAAGTTCATAATGAGAAGAACTCATCTGAAGAAGGAAGAAGAAGTTCATAATGAGAAGAATTTGTTCAACCTTTTACCTGAATCCATCATTTGGTGGATCATCTTTTCCAGAGAAAGTTCATAATGAGAAGAACTCATCTGAAGAAGGAAGAAGAAGTTCATAATGAGAAGAACTTGTTCAACTTTTTGTTTAAATTCATCATTTGATGGATCAACATGGCCAAAGAAATTTCATGAATGAGAAGAACTCATCTGAAGAAGGAAGAAGAAGTTCATAATGAGAAGAGCTTGTTCAACCTTTGTTTGATATCATCTGAAGAAAGAAGAGAAAGTTCATAATGAGAAGAACTCATCAAGAGTTTATTCAACCTTTTGAATGACTCTATCACAGAAAGGAGGTCATCATCATCCCCAGCAGAGAGTTCATAATAAGAAGAACTTATTTGGAGAGAGAGAAGAATTTACTCAATATCTCCATTATAATCAAAGTAAAGTCAAATGGATAAAAAATTTTATTATCTTTTCATCTTTGCCCTATTCTTGTTAACACAAGAATGAGCAAAGAGGGGCAGCTGAAGATAATATTTTTTATCCATTTTATTATTATTATTATTATTATTATTAGTATTATTATTATTATTAGCATTATTATTATTATTATTATTATTATTATTAGTATTTATTATTATTATTAATATTATATATTATTATTATTATTATTATTTAATAAATAATTACAACTGGACCGGCCCAGTTACAATCCAACTAGAACCGGTCCAGCCAACCAGAAACCCTAAACAAAGTAAGGTTTCAGCTAGGGTTTCTAAACCCTAGCCACACGCCAGCCGCCTCTGATGCTTCCAGATCCCAGCCGCCGCCTCACTGCCAAGTGGTCCAATGGCCCACTGCCGACGCCTCCGCCGCTGCCACGTCCCGAATGATGCTTCCAGAAGATCAACGCCGGCCGTCCACGCCAAGGCTACGGGGTGAGTCACCACTGGTAGTCCGGTGACTCACCGAAGCCCCCTCTTCGGACCAGTCCGATGACCGCACCGATGGTGGCTATAAAAGCCACCACCCACCTGCGAAACAAGAAGGGAGGAAGAACCGAGACAGCCAAAAACAAAAAAAAAACAGAGGATACAACAAACAACGAATAGCAACCACAGCAGTAAACCAAAGGAAAGAGAAGAAGAAGACTTACCCTTGAAGCCTTTGTGGCCCTCGGAAGCCAAACGTTGCCAAACCGCCGTTTAAGAAGGTAGAACCCTTCGGTTTTGTTTAGATTTACTCCGATTAGGAGTCTTTTAGGGAAAACAAAGACCGGAATCGGTCTTAGGGCATTTAGATCTACAATTTGGGGGTGTTTTTGGTGATTTCCGACCACCGTTACGGTGGCCGGTGGCGGTGGCCTGCGGCGGAGTACGGTGGCCTATGGCTGCCGGTTTCCCTCCGGTGAGGGAAACCTAGAGAGAGGCGAGAGAGAAATCTCTCTCAGTTTGAGAGAGAGAAGAAAGAAAGGAGAAATGAAATGCTGGCCCGAAGGGCCAGCCAACCTAGGGTATTTATACCATCTCTTAAACGGCGTCGTTTAAGGGAGGACATGTGCGTAATTATAGAAAGGTTAAATCCTTTCCGCAGTCCTCTAAATTTGTAAACTTTATATTTTAGTCACTGAACCTAATTTTAGATCTTTATAAATTGGTTCTTTAATTTTGGATTTATTTATTTTAGTCCTTTCTATTAAATAATATATTTAGGATAAATACGTATTTAATCCTTTAATTTTAATAAATAATATTTTAATCCCTAGCTTATATTTTTAATTTATTTGAATCTAATATCCGAATTTTAGATGATTTTATTTCAGTCACTAAATAAATAAAAATAAAAAAATAACATATTTAATCCCTATAGTTTTGATTAATTAAATTAGATTTTTTAATTTTATTGTTACTGCAATTTAGTCATTTATTTTATATGTTTTAATTTATTTTATTGTTTTTAAATATATTGTTTTAATAGAATTATTCTTTTATTATATTGTTAAATATTTTGATATATTCATAAATATATATAATAAATATTAATTTTTAAACATTTATTTTTAATATCGAAGAAAAGGACAGTCTTAATACAACTGGATGTCCTATTCTGATGTTTTAAAATTAAACAATATTATTTAAATTAATATTTATCAATATCAAAGAAAAGAGCTGTCTTAAGGCACCTAGAAGTTCTTTTCTGATATTTTTAAATAAATAAATATTTTTTATATATAATTTTGAAATAATAGGATCATAAATTAAATATATTTTTAAATTTTAATAATAGAGACAATTTATAATTAAAAAGTACCAATTTTGGGCGTTGTAGGGGTGCTAATCCTTCCCTAAACGTAACCGACCACGAATCCCTTTTTATTATTAAAAAGAACGAATTTTTGGTTATAAAACGCAGATCAGTTCATCTTTTAAATATGGTTTTCTTAAAAACTATTTTAAAAGAAAATTTTTAGGTATTCGACCTACCTAACCCAAAAGGCCGATGGCGACTCACAAATTATTCTCAAAATTATTTATTAACATCAATTTCCCCGCCAATTTTAATATTTCGTGCCCGGACGAAAACCGGTTACGACAAGTAGAGCAGGAAAAGGATTTGGGTTTATACGTCATGCTAGCTTCCAAGATGCACAGCGAGCGATTTCTAGGCTTGATGGCTTCTCGACGATGGGTAATCAGATCAAGTGGCGATAACTATTTTAAAACGGCAATCTTTAAGGAGAATTTCAAGAGGATTAATGGAAATCAATTCATAAACTTGTTTGACGAGGATGAAACATGGAGTTTTGATATATATATATATATATATATATATATATATATATATATATATATATATATATATATATATATATATATATATATATATATATATATATATATATATATATATATATATATATATATATATATATATATATATATGTATGTATGTATGTATTAGCTATTTAAAAAGGTCGAAAATATAAATTCCTACAGTAAATTGAGATGAAACATTGTATATAAATACAGAAAACAAATTCTTCTGATTATTTTATTTGAAATTCAATTTGAATTAAGATAGGACTCAACACTTACAAAAATAGCAATAAGAAGTTTAGCTTATTATTATTATAAATCATACGTGTCTTGATTGATTTTACCATTGAAAGTAATGTTAGGGATGGATTGATATTGTTGCAACAGGAAATCTATCTCTTGCAAACAACTCCCCGTCCGTCGATGCCGCTACCACAGCTTAATCCTGCCATTTCCGCACCCATGAAAGAATTATCTTCAATGATCCCGGTGAACCTCGCAACAGCACAGTGTGGGGCAAACAGGCTTGAACTGTGAAAATCTCTATCCCCTCCCATCACTGGCATTGTTGCGCCAATGTTTAGGTGACTAATGTAGCCAGGCTTATAAGTTTGTCCCGACACGCCGTTCACTTGGTCACTCAAAGAGTAGAATTTGAACCCCAGATCAAGATGAGCAAAACATTCTTCTTTCGTTATACATAGTTGTGAATCCTTGAATCCTCTTCGGTTATGGAAACCACCTTGGCTGTTATCTTGAACTTCCCTTCAACTTCAACTATAACATGGTTAGTGTCGCTAGATCTGGTGATTGAAACAGTGGGATTGTTTTCAGGTTGCCATTTGGCGCCTTCCCTTTCGGGGAGAGTAATAGGTTGTCCATCAAAGCTAAGACTGATGCGGTCAACGGAGTCGTCCCACGTCGAGGTTTTGAGGGCACCTGCAAAGAGTTGGTGGTTATCAAAGAGGATGGCGATGGACTGCACCCAAGTGAAGTCCCTCTTCATGTTTTCGTTTCGCCTGCCAATGAAGTGGCCATTGATGTGTAAGTTGGAGTCAGAAACAAGGCAAAAGTCTTGGTCTTTCTTGCCGTGAAAGTAGAAGGTGGTGCCGTCGCCGCCTATGAATCGAGGGTCCTGGCATACTGCTCCTGGCCTATCACACTCTGTCATAACCCAACATAAGAGCGTTACATTTATATATGTATAAGGATTTGATTTATAGTAGATAAGTTGATATATTAGTACGGTGTCATTATATATGAGTAGGTATTTACGTATGTTTGTTCCGTAATAATGGTGAAATGCATTAAAGACTTACTACAAACAGGTTTGCAAGTGACGCAATCAACTTCACAATCACCGGCACAAGAGCTGGGGCATACATGCTTCATGTTATAACATTGAGGGTAACTTTTATTCTTGCATTTGACAGTCTTAGGTGGGGTAGATGGAGGAGGATTTTGTGGCTGTGTGGGTGGAGATGGTGGAGGATTCTCTGATTGCGATGGTGGTGATGGAGGAGGATAGGTTGTTGTCGGAGACGGTGGAGGGTTCTCTGATTGTGCAGGTGGAGATGGAGGAGGATAGGTTGTTGTCGGAGACGGTGGAGGGTTCTCCGATTGTGCAGGTGGAGATGGAGGAGGATAGGTTGTTGTTGGAGAAGGTGGAGGGTTCTCCGGTTGTGCAGGGGGCGATGGAGGAGGATAGGTTGTTGTCGGAGAAGGTGGAGGGTTCTCCGGTTGTGCAGGTGGAGATGGAGGAGGATAGGTTGTTGTTGGAGACGGTGGAGGGTTCTCGGACTGTGAGGGGAGAGATGGAGGAGTGTAAGTGTTATCTCCATCGTCCGGGGGAGGTGAGGTACCGTCGAGACATACAGGTTTGCAAGAAACACAATTAACAGTGCATTGACCACCGGGGCAAAACTTGGGGCAAACGTGCTCTAGGTTATAGCAGTACTTGTATTTCTTGATGTTGCACCTTGCACGACTAGGGTGGTAGGCGATTCCCGGTGGAGTTGCCACTGTCATGGCAAGGAAAGCCAAGAGGAGGGTCAACGAAAGCTGTATTTTTGGTTGAGTCATTGAGACCATGACCATATCAATCTTGAATTAAATGGGTTAGTGTTTTAGGAGATGGTTATTGCATGCAAATGACCTCGCCTTTTATAGGAGAAAAGTGACTAATGTTGAGTGAACCTTTTTCATGCAAGTCAACTATAAAACAAAAAACAGAGAGGCAAGTCAACTCACTCACGTTAGTTTTTGTTTCTTTGTATAGAAACATGGCATCGCTTGATTACTAAGTCCAAGGGCTGGCCAAATAGAATTCATCTACCCTAATTAGATGCCCCTTTATATGCCCCGCCATAACATGTATATTAATAAATATTGAGTGAATTGTGTCTACTTTCCTCTCCATTTTTATTTTTTGTCGTTTGTTTCCTTCCCCTTTGTAGTTTTTAGATAATAAACATAAAACTAAGATTATATTACTTGTATTATTATTAGAATTTTATTTGATTATCTAATTGAATATATAATAAACATGAAGATAAGATTACTTATTTTAGATATCGTTTATAGAAACAAATGGATTACGACGATTATTGGTGATAAATCTCTTCTGATTTGAAGAGAGAATTTTAACTGATGGCTAGATAGTTATTAGCCAATAGAAAAAAAAATAAATGAGGGTGAGGTGGTTCCATCCCCTCTCCCAATCTTGATCAAGAGGGTTTATAGTGACTCTTGAAGTCAGATTTAGGCGTAAAGTCATCATGACTACTTGTATGCTAACAGGTTAAGTGGATATGATCAGTTAACAATAAATTTTATTTAGGTAGGTGATATGGCTTTGTCAAACGTCATGTCAATATGTCACGACTTTCCAAAGAATGTAAGATATTCGAGGTCTTTCTTTTGGAGGTGTCCTTTCGGGATCTTAACATCATAAGGGTACTTCGGAGTTTTTGAGGTGCGAAGATGATATACGAAGAACCCTCAACGGAGGCACATCATTACTGGAGACTTGGTCGTTAGATCATTGCTGGAATTTAATAGATAATTTTTTAGAAACGTCGAATTGGTTATTTCTTAAACGGCTCGAAGGCTTGAATGCGTGACATAGTGTGTTTAGCCTTATGGAATAGAATGTTGTTATAACTGTTTGGAACGTATCATTTCGTTCGATTATTCAAGGAGGATTTTGAGTAGCAGATGTAAATCCTTTCGTTTATATCTTTTGCTCTTGTATTTTTATCTTTTCTAGTAAAATTTTCTCTGATGTTCACTTGAATTTACCTTTATGACGGTAAAGAAGAGTGTTGTGAATGTTGTGAAGAAGAGAGAGGCAAACCATCAACAGCCGACGAATGATGACACTTCCAATTGTGAAACTTATCTGCTTGAGGCTAGAAATCTGTAACTGAGTTGTGGTGTGTTGTTGGAGAACTATTGGGCTTCATCTTCCCCTTTACCCTCAATAATATAACTCAGTACTCAGCAGGGTGGCATGAAACTGTTATGTTTTACTAGGAAGCATGGTAAAGGGCTTAATATTAAGGAGTAGGGATGGCAAACGGGTATAGTTTCGTGGATTCCGCACCGCATCCGCTCCAATTGGAGCGGGGATGGGTATAATTTTAGCGGGTAGTGGGCGGGTGTGGATTTATAAAGTGGTATCCGTCGTAGGTGGTGGGCGGGTAATGGGTTTGAGACATTACCCGCCCCGCATCCGCCATGCATCCGCCCGCACCACATCCGCCCGCCCAGCTAAATATCTATTAAATTTTGGACCATAATGAATTTAGGTGTAATTTTAGAGACTAATTTATAAATTTTAATATTTTATAATATATAACATATAATTTAACCAAATATTAAGGATATTTAGTCTTTAATTTGGTCTTTAATTAGGGAAATATTCGGCTCTTTGATTAAACCCATAATCCCACTAACCACGTCACTTTCCATGTTATTTAGCCCATGCTGCCCATCCAAACACAAATTAGCCTTACTATAAGCATTAACATCAAAAGTAACAATTTTCATGTTTAGCCCTTCACAACCCATATTAGGCGCACTATGAGCATTAACATCGAAAGCAACTCCACAATCAAACTCTGCGACTACATGCTCCCTACAATTTGTCTCCATAACATTCGTAGAGTCACTCCTCTGACAAATTGAAGCATGCGTTGCTACCCCATCATGAACTGTCTGAGAACCAACTTCAACATCCCATTAGTTTGTTGTCAGGCGGGTCTAGATGGATATGTTACTAGTGGGTAGTGGGTGTGGGGATAGATTTGAAAATGTACCCGCGTGGGCGGGTGTGGATTTAAAAATTTGTACCCATCATGGGTGGTGGGCGGGCAGTGGAATGAAAAATATTAGGTGGGTATGGGGATGGGGGAGGGGTATCCGCACCCGACCCGCCCGTTTGACATCCCTATTAAGGAGCCTACCGATGATTGGACTAGCAAGCGCGAGGGCTAAACTTGGATCGTTCTAAGTTTATTAAGGTAGCTCGAAAATTGTAAGAGATACAATTTATTCTAAGCTTAGGAAAGAGGGAGCAGAAACAATTTATTTATTGGAGAAACGCAGGTGGTTGAACGTTTCAGTGATAATTTGCGTCTAGAATATTTTCAAACATTGACTTAAGAAAATAATCCTAACGGGTTTAGGGTTGGTAGGAATATGTTTGCTGTAGAGTTTAAGATCGAGTTCGAGCTTCAATCGATCTAAGTTTGAGAATATTTCGAGTTCGAGTCGAGTTTTAATTTTTAGTTCAAGTACAGTTTAACAATTTTAAGTTCACGAGCTTTTGAGTCGAGTTGAACTTAATTTTAAACTTTTTGAAATGAATCTAACTCAATAATACTATAGCTCAACTAGATTCATTTACAACCTTAATCTCGAGTTGGTAGTATTTCTATTACAGTGCATTGTACTAAAAAGGAAGAAACAAAAAAGCATCCGCGAGTTTGAAGGATACTAAAAGAGAAATATAAATAGGGGCTGCATGTGACTTGAGAGGAAGATTTCTCTGTTGCCACTTTTCTTGTGTTGATGGTCATCCCCATCTTTCCTTAGCCAATGCCTGTTTCTTTGGGTTTGATTATTTATTGAATTTCTTTATCATTGAATGAGTTCAAATTATGGATAAAAATGTTAACAACACTTCAACATTAGAATAATAAAAAATATCGATATTTATTTATTAATTATATATTATAATTTTAATTATAATTTTTTATAACATTTTTTTCAATCTATGATATAGATATGACATGGTTTTAAAAATAATAAGAATGTGAAAAAAAATGTGATCCAAATGATCAGATTCATTGATCTAATCTGAAAATTTAGATTTCGGATTCATTTTTTAATTTTTAGATAATTCAAATCAAATATCTAAAAACAAAAGCAGATAATCAAATTATATATAAATCAACTAAAATTTAAATTTAAATTATCTGAAAAATCCAATAAAAAGTAGATCTTTAAAAGAAATTATCCAGACCCAACTAGCCAGAACCCGCCCCAAACCTAAAATGCCCAATGCCCCAGCATTAAGTAATGGAATTTTCCCATCAAAATTCAGTCCAAATTTCAAATTACGGCAAAAAGAAAACTTCCATAGTTCAATTGTTGGTTTATTTGCATAGTTTATTGTGAAACTTGAAATTGTTGTGCCCAGCAGTACCTATGAATTATGATTGTTATTCTTTTATGCATGACTGAAGATATTAAAGTGCAACATAATGATTATTGATTTCTTGTTCTTCTTTCTTCCAATTTTAGATTATTTTTTATTCAAAGTCTTAATACAGTGCATTCAAATTTTATTTTAGAATTATTCAAATATGTTTTGATAAATATGTATAGTAGATGTATATAATATGTTACATAAAGTTACAAAATATTCAATTTAAATATGATTATATATATATATATATATAAAATCAAAGTTTATACTCTAATTAGGATATTCGAACTGAAAATTTGAAAATCCGAAAATTCGGATATTCATTTTCTTTCGAATTAAATATGGATCTCGATTTTAATAATTTAGATTTTCAAATATCTAAATTTTTTAATCGAATAATATTTGATATCCAAAAATACACTCCCTTTAAAACTAAGTATGGGTAGGAAGAAAATTGCACCCAAACATGGAATTGCCAAATGCCAATGATTCTTTCCTTTCCCAATGCTATTTTTAGTGACATGAAAAATCAATAATTTAAATCATCTCCAAATTTATAGCATAATAAAAGACAAATACATACAGAGGTTGCTTGATTTGAGGTTACCACTTTTCTTGTTTTAATGGTCGCCTATATGCGATGAATAAATAAATAAACAAAATTACGCGAAATTTAATTTGAATAACAAAATTATCAATCGAGGAAAAAGTTCACAAGGAAGTCAATAATAAAAGATAAAATTGTTGAATTATGAAATTTGACATTGTCAAATAAATATATAGCATATTTCGTAATTTGTGTATGCATGTTATATTTTATATTTATTTTGCAAATATTAATACAAATCATTATTCGTATTAATTTTTTTTCAAAATATTTATTTATATAAATTCATGCACACGTCGAGGTTTTGAGGGCACCTGCAAAGAGTTGGTGGTTATCAAAGAGGATGGCGATGGACTGCACCCAAGTGAAGTCCCTCTTCATGTTTTCGTTTCGCCTGCCAATGAAGTGGCCATTGATGTGTAAGTTGGAGTCAGAAACAAGGCAAAAGTCTTGGTCTTTCTTGCCGTGGAAGTAGAAGGTGGTGCCGTCGCCGCCTATGAATCGAGGGTCCTGGCATACTGCTCCTGGCCTATCACACTCTGTCATAACCCAACATAAGAGCGTTACATTTATATATGTATAAGGAAATGATTTAAAATAGATAAGTTGATATATTAGTACGGTATCATTATATATGAGTAGGTATTTACGTATGTTTGTTCCGTAATAATGGTGAAATGCATTAAAGACTTACTACAAACAGGTTTGCAAGTGACGCAATCAACTTCACAATCACCGGCACAAGAGCTGGGGCATACATGCTTCATGTTATAACATTGAGGGTAATTTTTATTCTTGCATTTGACAGTCTTAGGTGGGGTAGATGGAGGAGGATTTTGTGGCTGTGTTGGTGGAGATGGTGGAGATGGTGGAGGATTCTCTGATTGCGATGGTGGTGATGGAGGAGGATAGGTTGTTGTTGGAGACGGTGGAGGGTTCTCGGACTCTGAGGGGGGAGATGGAGGGGTGTAATCGTCCGGGGGAGGTGAGGTGCCGTCGAGACATACAGGTTTGCAAGAAACACAATTAACAGTGCATTGACCACCGGGGCAAAACTTGGGGCAAACATGCTCTAGGTTATAACAATACTTGTATTTCTTGATATTGCACCGCGCACGGCTGGGGTGGTAAGCGATTCCCGGTGGAGTTGCCACTGCCATGGCAAGTAAAGCCAAGAGGAGGATCAACGAAAGTTGCATTTTTGGTTGAGTCATTGAGACCATAATCATATCTTGAATTGAATGGGTTAGTGTTTTGTGAGATGGTTATTGCATGCAAATGAACTCTTCTTTTATAGGAGAAAAGTGCCTAACGTTGAGTGAACCTTTTTCATGCAAGTCAACCAAAGACAAAAAAACAGATAGGCAAGTCAGCTCACACACGTTAGCTTTTGGTTTATGTTGCGTTGTATAGAAACATGGCATCGCTTACTTACCAAGGCCAAGGGCGGGATTAATTTATTCATCTTCCCCAATTACGTGCCGCTTTATATGCCCTACCATAAATCTTTGACATGTATATTCATAAATATTGAGTAAAGTTTACTTTTCGTCCCCTTTCTATGTTGTGTCATTTGTTTCCCCATTTCTCTTTCCTTATCCTTTGCAGTTTTCATATAATAAACACAAAACTAGTATCTATATTACTTGTTACTTATTTTATTATTTAAATTTTATTTATTTTTTGAGTCTAGTCCAATCAAATACATTTGTTCAAATTTAAATTCAAATGTAATTATTTATAATACTATTGTACTAATTGATTCTAATTTAAATGACTCTATCTAACCATATACTATATACATATATATTCTTTATAGGCTTAAATATATAAAAGGTGCACAACGTATGTCCGTTTTTCCAGTTTAGTATCTAACGTTTTTCCGTTCTAGTTTGGTGCCTAACGTTTCATTCTGTTACTCAAAATGGGTCATGTCGTGACTGACCATTAGTTTTCTCCGTTAAGTGACATGTGTCACAATCTGATAATTTTAAAAAATTATTTAAAATTAAAAAATAAAATTATATATTTTCTAAAAAAGAAAACACAAAAAAATTGAAATAACCCCAAAACTTTAAAAATCTTCATTTCAACCCCTAAATTGTTCAGTCGTCCCTCTTCCAAGCTCGTCCGCTCGATGACAGTGGCTTACCAAACCGGTTGGGTTTTGGTCGGACAGGATTGGCGAGCTTAGATTCGGTGGCAATGAGGCGGAAAGGCGGCGGTTTCGATTGGAAATCGCAAAAATCAAACGGTGATGAGGGCTTTTCGTCGGACTTTCAAACACCACTCCACCACGAACGGCGGTGACTGGAGGTGAGTGGATGACTTGGCTATGACAGTCCGGGACGACGCTTCCACTGGGATAGGCGGTGATGACTCCCAACGAGCGGTGGCCGAGGTTGGAGGTGGGCGACCGAATGGTTTCCTTGCGATTAAACTCGACGGTGATCGATTTCGGGTGATCTGAGGGTCGGGTTGAGGTCGTTGGTTGCTGTTGAGTTCGGTGGGAGCAGCGGTGTACATCACCACCAGTCGGAGAATGGTGGTTCAAGGAAGGGGTTAAAGGTTAATTGGTTGAAATGAATGTTTTCAAAGTTTTGGGGTTATTTCAAAAATTGTGTTTTTTAAAATATATATATAATTTTATTTTTTTTAATTTTAAATAAAATTTTTAAAATTATCAGATTGTGACACATGTCATTTAACGGAGAAAACTAACGGTACGTCACGGCGTGACCCGTTTTGAGTAACGAAATGAAACGTTAAGCATCAAACTTGAACGAAAAAAAACGTTAGACGCTAAACTAAAAAAGAAGGCATACGTTGGACACCTTTTGTATGTTTAAGCCTTCTTTATATTATATTTTTACCTGTTGGTAACTCTTGAAAAGAGTTAATATTCACGTCATTTAAACCAAGTTAGTTACTCATACTTAAGTATTTTAGTTGCATTAATAGTATAGTTTATATAGTTTTACATGCATTGTGTCTTGGAGATTGGATGACGCGCATTTTTCTTTATTTTGTTGTTTTATGATTGTTGTTCGGCAGTTTTAGTTGGTGATTAGTGCAAATGGAAGCAAACGTAAAAACAATATGAGGTAGAATTTCTATCATTGTGAGGAAAAGGTGTAATGCCGAAAGTGATGTCGTGGAAGTGGACATAATGGAGAAAAGTACACTGACATTATGCGGAAATATTATCGACCTTTTATGATCCCCACGAAGATAACTTGGGTTTGAAGGAATCGTGGGCTGAGGGATCAAAGAAAGAAAACCCTAGGCGCAACTCCTAGGGAAGCTCTATAAAAGACTGCGTGGAGCAACTTTAGAGGAAGGAGACGAACGTTCGACGCAGCAAGATTACAAGAAGCACGACGAGCTGACAACCCAGGACGAAGCTACACGACATTGTTGGCTTTCGATAACTTGGAACGCAACACCGCTTTTCCTAAATTCTTCCATACTTTAATCATTTATCTGTACTCTTTAAATCTGTTGTTATTTAATGATGATGAATTCGAACTTACCTTTGGTTTTTAGTACTCCAATCATAAACTAAACTCCCTTTGACTAGGACTACTTGTATGGAAGATTATTATTTAGTTTGATGTTTAAGTATCATTTCGATTATAAAGGTTGTTTTACTTGGTTGTTTTGCATGTTTATAATAGGTTCGGTTTTGATGATTGTCCATGCTGATTTATAAGTAAGTAATTTAGGAAGAGTATACGATGGTATATTCTGTGTAACTCTGGGAATAAAGACCTACCCTTCAAAGACATATGGTGTCCACTAATATGGTCACCCTACGATTAGTAATCGATGGATAAAACCCCCAAACTTGAACAATTAAATATTCGTAGCAATATCTTGACATTATCTAGAATGGTAAGATATTATGTAGCAGTCTCTGCCGCCTTAACCACTGTTAGATCTTGTTTGAATGTTAGACGTTCTTTCTACCATCCTTAAATTGATCAGTTTATTGCATTATTAATCTTTAATTCATATATTTTATTCATTATTATACCACCTTTGTTCGTAACCAACCTTAAAAGAAATTTGAGTCGTAATAATTCGATTAAAAGTTATAAGCTCAATCCATATGTAGACGATATTCACTCATTATTCTATTACTTGTCACTGACGTATACACTTGCAATTGCATATCATATTTACACACAACACGTTTAAGATTTGCAATGTTAGTTAATAAATCAAAATCATATAAAATCATATAATATTTTTATAATGTTATTTTTAAAGAATATATTTTGAGGACAAATTTATTATAAGAGTATAAAAGAGTCAAGGAATTGATTTGAAGAAAGAATTTGAAAAGAGTTATAATGTAATGATCAAATTGAAAATTGACTCAAAACGAATGAGAATTTGAAGAAACAATAGAATTAGAGACTAAATCATAAAAAATCAAATTACTTAGCTAAAGATCAAAACACTATTTTATTTTAAAAAATTTCAGTTATTTGAATTTTTTAAGTCAAACTCGACTAGAATTTAAATTCTAAACCAAAAATTTGAAGTGAATTAAAATTTTAAAAAATATTTTAAATCGAATCGAATATCATTCGACCCTAATACTTTCAAAAAAGATATTTTCTTTCATCAATATTTTTTTTCTTTTGCAAATGCCTTTAAAATCATTATTTTAAAACATATCTAAGTTTACCATTTATGTATTAGCCAGGTTAGCACAAATAGAAAAAGGCACGATGAAATTTTAGGAGACAAATATAAATGATAATAAAATTGAGGTTATGTTTGATTATTATGTTATTAATATAAAATTTTAAATGAAACGGTCAAGATTTATTTTATTTTATTTTAAAATTGACAAGGATTTAATTAGTATTTAAGGGGGGAAAGCAAGAGTTAGGCTTAATTTTTTTAATGTCAAAATAAATAGAGACTTAAAAATATTTAAATTAAAAAATATAGGACAAGATTTAATTTTTATAATTTAAAAATAATTAGATTAGAAAAATAGGAGGATAATATTTATTTTTTAAATTTTGAAAAATATGAAATACTTAAAAAACAATTTAACAAAAAAAATTGAAGGGCACAATCCCTCCCACATTAGCTAGCTCCGTCCCTAGTTAGCACTATTGCTATTATAAGATACTGTATTAAAAAATAACAAACAAACAAAAATAAAAAGCATCCGCGGGGTTTAAGGATAGTAAAAGAGAAATATCAGATAGAAGTTGCTTGTGAGGAAGATTTCTGGGTTACCACTTTTCTTGCTTTAATGGTCATCTCCATCTTTCCTTAGCCAATGCCTATTTCTTTGGGTTTGATTATTTATTGATTTTTTAATCACTCGTGGAGGAGTTCGAATTATGGATAAAAGATATTAATGCCCTTTAAGTGTTTTTCTTAATAATATAAGATAATTATAATATAAATAAATTATCGATTGAGAAAATTTCACAAGGAAATTAATAATAAATAAATTATTGGATTTGTAAAATTATTTTAAATTAGAACTTAGTTTCTTTCTCAAATGACTTAATGGGTTCAAAGGCGAAAGAGAATAAGTTAGGAATTTTTTTTAATAGTATGGTATGGTTATAAGATAGTATCTATTTAGATTCTTTCTTAATTATTGCATTTAGGCTTGTAAACGAAGTGTTTGTGAACCGTTCGGCGGGAAATTCGTTTATGTTCGTTCATTTATTAAATGAACAAACATGAACAAGATTTTGTGTTCGTTTAATTAAATGAACAAACATGAACAAAGGGTCCGTTCGTTCATTTACGTTCGTGAACATTCGGTAATATGATCGTTCATTTATGATCATTTATGTTTGTTTGTTTATGTGTGTTCATTTATGTTTATACCAATCTCTTTATACATATTTAAAATATTACAGCCAAATAAATTTTAATATGATACTCATAAATATTTTAAAATTCAATTAATTTTAAATACAAATAAAAAACTCAAAACAATTAAATAAAATATAATCTTAAAATTGTAAGGAAAGAAAAAAAAATTATTTACAGTTATGTTCGTTTACATTCATTTATATTCATTTATTGTGTTCGTTTACGTTCGTTTATCATTTAAATGAACGAACATAAACGAACACGAACAAGCAACATCCCTGAACAAACAAACACGAACAAGAAATTTTTTGTTCGTTTATGTTCGTGTTCGATCATTTATTTGGTTAAAGTTAAACGAA